TTTAAATAGTGATATGATGGGAATTGTGTGGTTGAAAAAGAAGAAAAAGTATTGATGTGATGAAAAATATTATTTTATTGAAGAATGTGTGATTGAAAATGAGAATTGATTTACTGTAGAAAATGAGAATCTGGACCAAACAGGCTTTTAACTGAAAAACATAGTATAACATGACACGTGAAAAGGCTATTCTTGACAAGTGACACGATATATGAATGGATAATGTTTCAAGAAAATTTATTAAGCAATAATTTGGAAAAGTACTGAAAGCGGCAGACTGGAGTGACGAAGGGGGTGATGATGTGAAGAATGTAAAGTTGTTGGAGAAAAAATATAAATTAGTTGTTGACTGAATTTCAACAGACATGCATGATGTTGACGGGACATGATTGGTTTACTTTATTGGATATGTATTTTTTGTTTTTTCAATTAAACATTTTTCGATAAAATAATATTACATTTAAAATTAATTTTTTTAATCACATTTCAAAAAATTTTCACAAAATAATATAATTTTAATGGAGATCAAATGAGGGTTTACGTTAAAAAGTTATTTGGTTTTTTACTGTCAAATAACTTATTTATTTTTCACTATAAAATTATTGGTTTTTATTCAAGAAATTTTACTTCGAAGTCTGAAATTTTTGTCAAAAGTTACGCACGCCTTTGTTGAATATATTGATTCTAGAGTGATGCTATACATTACCGGCCTTCCTCCAGGAGGAAGAGCGACTCGCTCTTCAGTCAAAAATTGACGGACGTTATCTTCCAAATCCATGTACATCAACTTCTTTGGATCGAAGAGAGATTTTCATCATACATCAGAACTTTTGCCACTGAATTTCATGAACACTATCGGTTGAAGCGATAGACAAAATTCCAAATAAAACTAGACGAACTCTTGATTTTTAAATATCCAATACGAAAATTGAAAAAAATCTCAACAATTAATATTTCAATTCAAATATTAATCCATTGGATTTATTATATATTTATTCATTATTAAAATTTTTAATTTTGTTCATTTATTTTTAAGGTGGTATACGAGTAATTATTAGCATATCTCTTATTTTATATGTTTTTAAAGTTATTTTATTATGTATTTGTT